ATGTCTGTTTATCTCTTTCAGTCTTTCTCTCCATATCTCTGTCTGTTTGCCCCTCTATCTATTACTTTCTGTCTATCTGCCAATCGCTTTATGTTTGTCTCTATCAGCACTGCAGTTCCTAGCTACTGTCAGCAGACAACGTATATTGTCCTTTTTTGTCATTTTACCCTCGACCCGCAACAGCCAGGTTCCTGGGTATCAATTGGTCTTGAAGCCGTAGGCGCCGTCGCCAAGAAGCTGTGTAATATCACGGACTGGAGTAATTTACCCCGGAGCAAAGGCGACCCGTAGAGTGTGGGGACTTGACTCTCCTCCGCCGAAGTACCTGCTGCCCTTACCCTGGACGCAGAACAAGAGGCTCTTCGCTAAGGGGTCTGGAGAACACTTCTTTCCGGTGATTTTTTGAGGATTTTTAAAATCATATATATATATATATATATATATATATATATATATGTATGTATGTATGTATGTATGTATGTATGTATGTATGTATGTGTGTGTGTGTGCAGCATGATCAATAACCAATATTCATTTTATGTATAAACAGCTCCTGATACTCCATTCCTCCAAGCCCTCTCTCCCTTTCCAGAAATTCAACTCCACCTACGTGATCCACTTGTTCAGCGCCTTGACCCGCAACAAGAAACTCCACATCGGCGAGAACAGCATCTACGAAGTCGCAGCGAAGACGTTTTGTCCGGTGACTTTCAAGCACGCGACAGCTGACTCCGATTCCTTCTGATGACTTACTGTGTCGCAATAACTTTTTGTAAAAAAAAAGGTCTCATGTTTCCATGAAGAGATGATGGATTTCATGGCGGTTGTTGAAGCTACATGACAGATATGTATTTGTCATAAATCATCTTCACACACACACACACACATACATATATGTATATATGTGTGTGTATGTATGTATATGTAAATATGAATATATATATATGTACACACACACACACAATATATATATATATATATATATATATATATTATATTATTATATATATTATATATATATATATATATATATATATATATATATATTATATTATATATATTATATATAGATCTTGATGCTAGGTCAAATTGATGAAAACATTTTATTAAGAAAATAATTTTCTCACTGAAATCGCCTTTTCCTGTATCTCCTACTTTTAAAAGAGGTTCAAAACCACAAAGATGTTCCAAATATGAGGCCATGTCTCCCATCCCGTTGAGCACGAGGGATTCGGTTCAGTGAAAGACCCGACGCTCCAAGCCGAAGGGAAGTTCCTGCATTATGCCCGATAATGATTCAGGATTTGATTGCAAAGGGAAATGAATAAATAAACAGATAAAAATCTAAAGAAATGCTATGTCACAGAGGGCTAGTAAAGCACAAGACAGACACTGCTTTACTTACCTGACAGATTTTTTCGTGAAATATGGCGAAGATCAAGGCGTAATGATAAGGAACCACGGGCTATATACCATGCGTTGTGAAATCCATTATCCCAAACCAGCAAGGCAAAGACTTCCAGCATTGGAGTTACAGAAACATCAAAGAACATCATCGTACTTGATTTTGTACAGTGCATTGTGTCAGAACTTGACATGAATGATTGCATTTGGAAGTGTATTAAATGTTCCATGTCACTTCGGAAATTATGTCCCTTGTTTTTTGTCTGCTTGATTTATTCATGATACAGCTGACAATATTGAATTTACTGAATGGATTCTCTGCTTAAAGATTTTTTATTCTTTAAACTGTTAAAGTGGAATGTGCAAAGATAGCTGCAACCTTTGTATTTTAAAGAGAGAAAAAAAATCTTAATTAACCTCGCTATGTAAGGACTCTTGTAATAGGCAGGTTTCTAGCTGGTAAATGAAAAGAAGAAACTTTGTGGTTCCTTCGGTATATATATATATATATATATATATATATATATATATATATATATATATATATATATATATGTATATAATCTATCTATCTATGGAAATGATGGAAACTGGCAGACAAAGACACACGGAGCCAGTTTGCGGCAGTAGCAAGAAACAAACAGCAGGGTGAAAAGGAAGGAAATGGGAGCTTTGAAGAAGTGATGGAAGACCCGACAAAGCTGTTAGAAAGACTGTTAGGGAAAACATCAGGAAAGTACAAACCTGGAAAAGAGACATGATTGTGGAATGATGGTACCGGACAGCCTCAAGAGGAAGAAGGAAAGAAAACCTTAGACACGGAGAATACCGATGAGAATAAAGGTCTACAAGTTGGCAAAGAAAGAAACAAAGAAGAGTGCTGCCTGGGCAAAGGCAATAGCATATCAAGTGCTGTATGAGGAAATGGAGACTATCGATGGACAGAAGCGGGCATTGAGAATGGCGAAGCAGCAAGACAAAACTCAAAGGGCATCTACCAGACAATGCTGATCAAGAATGAAAAATGTGTTAGTGGAAAATGCTGAGATACTAAAGAGATGGCAGGACTATTCCAACAAACTAATAAATAAAGAGA